AATACACATTCTTTTCAAATGCTCATGGCAGTTTTTCAAAGATAGACCACATGATAGGACACAAAGCAAACCTCAGCAAATTCAGGAAAATTGAAATAATACCAAACCTTTTCTCGGATCGCAAGTGTTTGAAACTGAAAATCGACCTCAAAGAGAAACTTCAAAAACTTGCAAACTCATAAAGACTGAACAGTAGATTATTGAACAATGAATGGGTCAATAATGAGATAAGAAAAATCAAAAAATTTCTGGAAACAAATGAAAATGAACAGACAATAGTCCAAAACCTATGGGATACAGCAAAGGCAGTCCTGAGAGGGAAGTTCATAGCAATACAGGCCTACCTAAAAAAGATAGAAACATTTCAAATAAAAGACCTAACACTACAACTTCAAGAATTGGAGAAACAACAACAAATAAATCCTAGAGCAACTAGAAGGAAGGAAATAGTGAAGATTTGAACAGAGCTGAATAACATAGAGATGATAAGAACAATTCAAAGGATCAAACAATCCAGAAGCTGGTTCTTTGAAAAGATAAATAAAATCAACAAGCTTTTAAGCAGTCTCATCAGGAAAAAAAGGTCGAGGACCCAAATACATAATATCAGAAATGAAAGGGGAGAAATAACAACTGATACCTCTGAAAATAAAGGATTGTCAGAAACTACTATGAACAATTATATGCCAAGAAATTTGAAAACCTCGATGAAACAGACAAATTTCTAGAAAAGTATAATCTTCCAGCACTGAAGGAGGAAGCAAGAGAAAGCTTGAACAGACCAATAACAGCTGGAGAAATTGAAGCAGTCATCAAGAAATTCCCAGCACACTAAAGCCCAGGGAAGGACGGTTTCACAGGAGAATTTTACAAAACATTTAAGGAAGAGCTAATCCCTGTCCTTCTCAGACTATTCCAAAAAATCCAAGAGGAGGGAAGACTACCAGATTCTCTTTATGAGGCCAGCATCACCCTGATCCCAAAACCAGATAAAGACCCTATAAAGAAAGGAAACTGCAGGCCAATTTCGCTGATGAACATAGATGCTAAAATCCTCAACAAAATACTGTCAAACCGCATCCAGCAATACATTAAAAAGATTATCCACTATTATCAAGTGGGATTCATCCCTGGGATGCAGGGATCTTTCAATATACGCAAGTCAATAAACGTAATACATCACATAAATAAAAGAAAAGACAAAAATCACATGATCATCTCGATAGATGCAGAAAAAGCATTCAATAAGGTACAGCAGCCATTTATGATTAAAACACTCAGCAAAGTGGGAATAATTGGGGCATTCCTCAATATAATAAAGCCCATATATATGAAAAACCTACAGCCAACATCATACTCTACGGGAAAAGATTGAAAGCTTTCCCACTAAGATCGGGAACACTACAAGGATGTCCACATTCACCACTTCTTTTCAACATTGTATTGGAAGTCCTAGCCACAGTGGTCAGACAAGAAAAAGAAATAGAAGGCATCCAAATAGGAAAGAAGGAAGTAAAACTATCATTGTTTGCAAATGACTTCATAGTGTACATAGAAAACCCTATAGACTCTACCAAAAAAACTCAACCTAATAAGTGAATTTGGCCGAACAGCATGATACAAATTCAACATTCAGAAATCAAAGGCATTTTTGTACACCAGCAATTCAATAGAAGAAGAAGAAATCAGAAAAAAATACCATTTGATATAGCAACAAGAAAAATAAAGTACCGAGGAATAAATTTAACCAAGGAGGTAAAAGACCTGTATGCAGAAAACTATACAACATTGAAGAAAGAAATTAAGGAAGACACAAATAAATGGAAGCATATACCGTGCTCCTGGATTGGAAGAATTAATATCATCAAAATGTATATACTACCCAAAGCAATTTATAGATTCAATGCAATCCCTATTAAGATACTAATGACATATTTCCCAGAAATAGAACAGACATTTCAAAAATTTATATGGAACCATAAACGACCCAGAATAGCTGCAGCAATTTTGAGAAAGAAACACAAAGTAGGAGGGATCACAATACCGGACATCAAACTCTACTACAAAGCCACTATACTCAAAACAATCTGGTACTGGCACAAGAATAAACTCATAGACCAGTAGAACAGAATAGAAAGCCCAGAAATAAGGCCAGGTCTATATAGGTAACTAATATTTGACAAAGGGGGCAGAACCTTAAAATGGAGTAATAATAGCCTCTTCAACAAATGGTGGGAGAGCTGGACGGCTACTTGCAAGAAACTGAAATTGGATCATCAGCTGACACCATACACAAAAATAAACTCAAGATGGATAAAAGACTTAAATATAAGTCGCAACACCATAAAAGTCTTAGGGAAGAACATTGGCAGGAAACTCTCAGATATCCCACGTAGCAATTTTTCACTGATGTGTCTCCTAAAGCAAGGGACATAAAGGAAAGAATAAACAAGTGTGACCTCATCAAAATAAGAAGCTTCTGCATGGCTAAAGAAAACATCAGCAAAATGAAAAGGGAGCCAACCATATGGGAAAATATATTCGCTAATGATACATCAGATAGAGGTTTGATCTCCAAGATATATAAAGAACTCACTCGACTCCACTCCAAGAAGACAAATTATCCAATCAAAAAATGGGCAAAGGACCTGAGCAGACACTTCTTCAAGGAAGAGATACAGAGAGCCCAGAGACATTTTAAAGGATGCTCAGCATCACTAGCCATCAGAGAAATGCAGATCAAAACCGCCATGAGGTACCACCTCACATGGGGCAGAAGGGCCATCATGAACAGATCAACAAATAACAGGTGCTGGGGAGGCTGTGGAGGAAAGGGAACACTAGTCCACTGTTGGTGGGAATGCAGACTGGTGCAGCCACTGTGGAAAGCAGTGTGGAATTTCCTCAAAAAGCTGAAAATGGAACTGCCTTTTGATCCAGTGCTTCCTCTGCTGGGAGTATACCCTAAGAATCCCAAAACGCCAATACAAAAGCACCTATGCACTCCAATGTTCCTAGCAGCACAATTTACAATAGCCAAGTGTTGGAAGCAACCTAAATGCCCATCAGTAGATGATTGGATCCAAAAATTATGGTGCATTTACACAATGGAATACTACACAGCAGAAAGAAAAAAAGAACTACTAAACTTCGCGACAGCATGGATGGAACTGGAGAGCATTATGCTAAGCGAAATTAACCAGGGGGCGAAAGACAAATACCATGTGATCTCACCTGTAAGTGGAACCTAACCAACAATACAAAGATGGAAGAAAAATAAGACCAACAACACTGAAAGGAAAAGAAATGAACAGAGACAAGAGGGATGGAAGCGGGGGGGGGAGGGAAAAGGATGGGAATGGGAGGGTCAGGGAACTGTAGCAAGGTCTCATGGACAAAACGAAAGGGGAAGGATTGAGGCAGGGAGTGGCAAGGGGGCTGAGGAAGGTGGTTGGGGGGAAGACAGAGACAAATGTATTTGAAAAAAATAAAGAAAATAAATTAAATAAAAAAAGATTATTTTCTGCTTAGATATTTCTCGTATCTAATACTACTGAAGGGACCATCTAAACTAAAAGTAATGTTGAGATAAATTCAAAAAAGTTTAATGTCACTCAGGAAAACTGTGATATAGAGAAAGATATGTGAACTGAACATCAAGTGGTCAAATGCTGTCTGCCACTTTTTAGCTATGGAACTTTAACACTTCAGGCCTCACTCAATTTTCCATTGTAAGCTGAAGAAAGCAGGAACAAATTGCTTAAGGTGGCTGCCATTGAGAATGCATGAGATAAACACCTGGCACAATAGTTGTTAAAAAGAGCCTTTCCCTCTTTTTTTCTGTCTCCCAAAGAAAAAAGAAAATGTTTTTGGTCAAATTGCAAGTGTTTTGTAGTCATTTATAGCGAAAATAGATAGATACACATGGATATTAGACAGATCACAGTGATAGTATCCCTGCGTTTCATAAATTGTACCTGTATTTTGTTCTTTTCACTAAAGTTCTCACTTGCATTATAATAATTATCTTTAAAAGATGCAGCTATTATATATTCTTTCAATCTGATTCCACATCCAGTTCACCTCAGATACTGGAAACCTGGAAGGAGCTGTAATCAGCATGGATCATTTCTACAATATCAGGTGTTACAAGACTGAACTAATAGAATAATATTAACTCCCATTCCTTCCCCTGGATGAAGATCAAGTAAAACCTGTCAGCCTTCTACGTCTGGGACTCTCAGTTTTGTTGACCATCTTCTATCAGCTCCATTCTTTCTTTGTACACTTTTCTTTTTTAAAAAATTGATCTTCATCTGAGTATATGTTTATTGATTTTTTTATAGAGAGAGGAAGGGAGAGAGAAAAAGAGAGGGAAACACTGATGTGAGAGAGAAATATTGATCAGTTGCTTCCCATGAGCACCCCAACTGGGGATCAAACCTGCAACCTAGGTATATGTCCTGACAAGAATCAAACCTACGACATTTTCATATACAGGATGATGCTCTAACAAATTTAGCCACCTGTCCAAGGCTCTTAGCACAGTTTCTTATGTTCAGTAACCTGTTATTTGGGTCTCAGAGACATCATGGGAACTGAGATATTGTGTATCTCCTGTGATTTTGTAATTAATCTTAGGGAGTCATCTTACAGCTTTTTTTTCAAGTTTATAGGTAATACTTCCTCCAGTGCTTATGAATAATGAAAAAAATTTAAACCATTCAGTGGCAACAAAGCCTTTTACTCTCTTTCTATAGAACTTAGTTTAGTCTCAACAACCGTTTATCAATAGCACACTGTGTACTTTCTCCTGCACCTAAATTGAGTCCAAGAACATAAAGGTCATTACAAACTTAACTGTATGCTTTTAAGTCTGATTACATACTAATTTTTGTTTAATTTCTTTTTAACGGATTTTTTAAAAATGGGATATGTAGACTGAGAAAGGCAGGTGAAGCAAGTTGCATGCAGTAGCAGGAAGCTGTTAATTTGCTCACCTCCACAGACTACACTGTTGAGGTCTTCACAGCGGCGGTCATCACACTCGCATGTCTTCCCATAAACCCTGTGATCTCCTGGTGGGTAACAAGTACATTTGCCGCATTCGCATTTACCTACAAAATACAAAGGGAGAACACATTCATTAGGAGATTCACAGAAGAAGGAAGGCTTTCAAAGGGAACAATTACACTATGAAAGCCAGACCTCGTGGACCAGTTCTAGACTGTGCCTGATTCTTTTATAGCAAATAACTTTTCTTACCTGCCAACAATAAGTTGAAGGTCAAACACAAATGCCAAGGTGGTTGGGAGTGAGAGTGACAATTGCTGACTCAGGGGTCATTCACATTTACTACTTTCCACCTTTTTGTTTCATTCATCTTTGAAGATTAATTCAGTTATTAAATTCTCTGTACATTTCATAGTCGACTTACTTTGATGATACCTTTTAATGTAACTGAATCAGTGTTATATATTTTGGAATATTTAACATAATGTGGTCATTTAAAAATATTTTGGTTTTGGGTGTATCTACCACATAAAGAAAAAAATGTTCATTGGTACATTGCAACATATTTTAGTGATTATTTGGCATCAGTTTTATAGCTCATAAAACACATTTTTATGAACTATAAACACATGACCTAAGTATCTTTATAATTCTTGACTTAAAAATTAAAAGTATAAACATTTTTTGGAAAGAGTTTGTTTCATAGTTTTGGGAATTCCTTAACTATTATCATTAAGACTTTTATCATCATTTCTTGAGTTGCAACTATGTGTCAAACATTATAATTCTTTTAATTCCATCATTTTGTTTTCATAATACCACTCATTGACTAGCATTACTGCTATAATTTAACTAAACAGGAAATGGAGACATATTGAGGCCAAGTTACTTTCCATGGTAATTCAGCTCATAAGGGACAGACTTAAATTTACATCCATTCTCATTTATCCTAAAGTGTGAACATCTAATTACTGAGCGATACTGCATCTAAACATACGCATAACATAGCACCAGAAGACTGTGAGAAAGTACATTCTTTTTGTTTGAGGAATTTGTACTGGTTTGCCAAAAATTCAGCTGGGTGACTACTGCGAGACATCTGTTACTCTCTGTCATTAGCCCAACCATCATAATTACACACCCACTGAAATGTTTTTGAGATGCTTCAGGGCTGACCCCACAATGCTGTTAGTCATTCTGTTGCCGCATTTGTATTTTGGTGAAGAAATTCTGAGTTTCTAGATGACAGAAGAAAGGAAAATTAGTATTTAGAATCATATAATTTCAAAGCTATAATTAAAGATAATCTAATGCAGTGAGTCATAATCTTTTCTGGCAGAAGTGTTGGGGTCATGATCCCTTTGAGATGCTGGTGAAAGACATGGCAATAGAGACTGTTGTACTAGCTGCCCTTCAACCAGTCCCTCTTTCTACTTGGAGGCAGTCCCAAATTCAGCAGAAGACAGAGCCCTTTCTCTGGCCCAATAAGATTCCCCCTTCCTATCATCTGGCAGACAAAACAGGGAAACATCAGATACTCTTGGCAGGGCTTTGAGTTTTGAGGACGACTGCAAAGGCACAGGGTCTGTGCAACAGCATAGTAGTGGGTGTCCAGGAACAGTGGAACTTGGCACACAGTGGCTGGAGTTCAAGAATGATGGCAGCAGGGGCTGGTTCTTGGCAGTACCCTGCTTCCCTGGGGTGCTATATGTGCTGACTGTCCATGATTGCATTCTGAACCCAAACACTTCTAATAAAGTCCTTTTCAAGCCAGTTAATAAAGTTGGTTTCCATTGTTTGCAAGCAAGAACTCTAACTGGTAGACTCCAAATCACTCCCCAGAGAAATATACCAGCACACATTTTTTTTTTTTTTTTGTAAAACGTCAGGAAGATCCATGACTTACTGCAATTTATTTAATAGATGAGGAAAATCAAGCATGCTGAGGTTCAATGATTTGACTAAGGCCAGAGAAGTAGACATTAGAGTGTCAGTGCTAGAACTCAGGTCTTCTGAACTAGTGTGCATAAACATGCCAATCCTCACCATGCGTAGATGTGTGAATGACAATAATTATCCAGACTGTGGAGACAAAGACACAAACCCTAGGACCATTAACAGTATGGCCTGGTGCAGTTAGCTAATCTTTCATGGAGAGATGTCAGAAATATCAATCACCTTACTTCTGAGAGGTAATATAGTCCCAGTCACCAACAAAACATCAATTTTTAAGTTTGAGAGCATATGCATTTATGATGACAATTTTATTAATGTTGTAAGGTATACAGGAAGTTTTCTGACATGCATTATTGGTTTATGTGTTTCTCTGGAAAGAATAAAGTAAATATTGGCACATATATTCAAATATATACAATTTCATTGTTTTCACAATGGGTAGTTTCTGTCTTGTATTTCTTCTATAAAGTTGGATAATGTTAATATTCAATCCTAGGTACATTGTTTTTCCTGATAAATTGTAATTCATGTATATTTTTCAGATATCAGAGAATAATTAACCCTTTTGCAATTCTTATTTTTATTGGAGGTTTAAAATGACACATTAAAGACACTAATAACTGAATTAACTTTATAAATGTAGCTGTAATGTAACATAGGATAGAGTGGCTTTTGATGAAAACATAAAAAATGCATAAAGATAATTTATTGAGATGGAAATGTAAAGAAAATTAAATTCTTCATAAAGCTCACATTTTAAAGTGTATTATTTTGCCATCTCAGTTCACAGCTTCAGTCCAGTCACTACCAAGACATATACCTGCAGGTAAATTTCCACTCATCCTTCAAGATCCAAAGTAAATTTCACCAAATCCATGACAATTACACCCTCCTACTCATGTACCTTTACAAATACAGCAGAATTAACTGTACTTTACATTTGTCTCAATAAATCAATATTATTGATGAGTGCTCTAAATAATCACCACCTGTAAATAGTTTGGTAATATTCATACCATTCATGAGTTTTAATGGTAGACCTTAAATTTAGAAGGTCTCTCCCCATTACACAAGTATTTTCAATTACCTGAATACCTTCATTTGTGTTTCCCACAGTTATGTCAATGGACTATGTCCCATAGCAAATGCATCATATTTATTCACAAACCTACTCCTCTTCCCCAGTCCTTTTATCTAAGAGATCATCATCATCTAATCTGTCAGTGAAACCTAAAAACTTGATGACAGATTTGATTTCTTCCATTTATTAACTATCCTTCTCTTTTCAATTTAAACCTTCAAAAAATTCACTTTTTGAAAACACTTGTGATTATATAATTCCCTTTCAGGTGATGGTCTTATGTGATCTTCAAGACAAGAACCACATTTCTCAACAAAACTCTCTCTCCACACTTGGTCCAGTTCACCTCTCTCAGAATATATCGAATGTTCAGAGACTTTGCTTAGGTTCTCCACTTCTCTCTCCTGTGCACTCCACCACTTATTTTCTCTATACAATCCTACCTACTGCTCCAAAGCCAACTCATACCTAATCTCTTTTATGAAAACTTCCTTGCCATCCCTGTTTGGTTACCTGACAGAATGCTCCCTCTCCTTGATCTCATAGTACTGTACTTTGTTCATACCACTAGTAGATCAATATTGTCATCTCTTATTAGGTAAGTACATGCCTGAACCCTACTATAAGTACTGAGCTTTCTATAGGTCGATGGTGAGATTTGCATCCTATTAGCTGTCAGCAAAGATTTCTGTTGATGTAGTAAGAAACATTGACATGCAGATTGTTACCGATTTTTTATTTTTATTTTTATTTTTTTTTAATTTATTTTTTTTTAAATTAATTTATTTACTTTTTAAATACATTTGTCTCTGCCTTCCCCCCACCTCTTTCCCTTGCCCCCTCCCACCTTCCCTCCCTCAGCTCTTCCCCTTTGGTTTTGTCCATGAGTCCTTGCTATATGTTCCTTGACTTCCCCCTTCCCTTCCCTTTCCCTGCCCCCCCCTTCCCTCTTGTCTCTGTTGATTTCTTTTCCTTTCAGTGTTGCTGGTCATATTTTCCTTGCTTCTTTGCACTGTTGGTTAGGTTCCACTTATAGGTGAGATCATATGGTATTTGTCTTTTGCCCCCTGCCTTATTTCGCTTAGCATGATGCTCTCCAGTTCCATCCATGCCGTCACAAAGTTTAGTACTTCTTTTTTTCTTTCTGCTGTGTAGTATTCCATTGTGTATATGTACCATAATTTTTTGATCCAGTCATCTACTGATGGGCATTTAGGTTGCTTCCAACACTTGGCTATTGTAAATTGTGCTGCTATGAACATTGGAGTGCATAGGTTCTTTTGTATTGGTGTTTTGGTGTTCTCAGGGTATAGTCCCAGCAGGGGAATCGCTGGATCAAAAGGCAGTTCCATTTTCAGCTTTCTGAGGAAATTCCACACTGCTTTCCATAGTGGCTGCACCAGTCTGCATTCCCACCAACAGTGGACTAGAGTTCCCTTTTCTCCATAGCCTCGCCAGCACCTGTTGTTTGTTGATCTGTTTATGATGGCCATTCTGACCGGTGTGAGGTGGTACCTCATGGTGGTTTTGATCTGCATTTCTCTGATGGCTAGTGATGCAGAGCATCCTTTCAAATGCCTCTGGGCCCTCTGTATCTCCTCCTTAGAAAAGCATCTGCCCAGGTCCTTTGCCCATTTTTTGATTGGATCGTTTGTCTTCTTGGAGTAAAGTCGAGTGAGTTCTTTGTATATCTTGGAGATCAAACCTCTATCTGATGTATCATTAGCAAATATATTTTCCCAAATGGTTGGCTCCCTTTTCATTTTGCTGATGTTTTCTTTAGCCGTGCAAAAGCTTCTTATTCTGATGAGGTCCCACTTGTTTACTCTTTCCTTTATGTCTGTTACCGATTTTTTAAATAAGAACTTGAGTCTAATCTCTTTATTTATTAAATAATATTATTATTGAATTTTATTTTAATAAATATTTTAATGTTATGGAGCTATAACTGTAGCTTCTCAAATGACTATCAAATTAATATTCTTGTAAGAATGAAGGGTAATGGAGGTATACTTGTCGAGCAGTAATAAGTGCTATTTTATGTAACAAGTTGAAGGAAAAATCTAA